CGGAGACTTGCCACGTTCTCCAACCCTCCTCCTTTCTCATCCGGGCTTGGGACCGGCCATGGCGGAGTTATGCACCTTAAAACTTTTATCGTAACCCCAATGACTTGGCCAAATTGTCAGAACAATTTTTTACACATTTATAGCTGAACGTCGAATAACGGGATGAAAAAATGAATAGTTTTTGAAGTGAATAGTGACGATTGTCGGCAATGGACATAGATCGGTATTGTCTACTGTATATTTCCGCAAACAATTTGGCTATTTATTTGTACCTGCAAACGTTATGCGATAGCGGTAAGCTTTAAACTCATCTCAAAACGGAACTTTCACAGTTGAGGATGCTCGTAATTTTAGACTTGGTTTCTCTTTACTTCTGGTCAGGAATCAGATAATTCGCTTTGGCTGCGACAGATGTGTTTTGACAATGGCATCAGCAGTGGATACTAAACCTCAGTTTTCGGGAGGGCGGAATGAAAATTCGGCTACATCTGCGGTAGGGGAATCTGTCCGTAGTATTTTTGTCATCATTTTGCGTATTTGCGTTCAGCTCCCTAACTATACCCTTCGATATACGCTTGCTGGGCACACGAAGGCGGTGTCATCCATCAAGTTTAGTCCAAATGGTCACTTTCTCGCCAGCTGCTGTAATTAACATTTTATTTTGCGTTTATGGTGACCAGTTCGTGTATGTTTAAGCTGCTGACAAACTAATCAAAATATGGTGCGCTTATGACGGGAAATTTGAAAAAACTATATCTGGACATAGGCTGGTGAGCATTTACCATTAATTCTGTTCATTTTGATATTTGTCTATCTATAATGTTTTATTTACGTTATTTCCTTAGGCTACAGATTCGTTACGTCGAATTTAGTTTAAGCGATACTCTGAGTATGTTTTTGCCGGTTGCTGTATTAGAGAAATTCTGCAGTTTAGAATGCGGTTCCCTGTCATAACTGATGAGTTGTCTTTCAAACCTGGCATAGGATTTCTGAACGAATGTTCCTAGTACTGCCTACATGACGTATTTTACAACGTGTATTCTCCTAATACTTCTAGATTAGATCGTCATTTTCTTGCAAAATGATTAGTCTAAAGTTCATAACAGGAACGGATCTTGTATCACTATTTGATTGTTTTTGTTCTTCATTAAGTACCCCGATTGCCTAGGTTATATCAGTAAATGATTGTTGTTGCAGCGCTTGACACCTATGAGGTTTCGGGCTGTAGTAGTCAATACTTATTTCTTTCTTTTTGGCCTTCTAGCTTTCTACAGTGGAAGCTGACTGATTTGAGGTCATATCTGTAACTTTGCCATTAGTTGTCCATGGGGGCCGTTGATTTCATGTTGTGTGAGGTGTGCCCGTTTCGATGTTTAGTTACTCGCAAAATAAAGGTTAGAAAGTGGATGGCACGTTATTTTATGCTGTAACTCATCCTTTCAAGTTAGATTTTCCACCTCAACTTTATCTCTGCCTCGTAACGAAATACTTCTCGTTTGCATAATATTCTTAATTTATTTACCCTATGCTTGATCGTTGCTGATTATTACATCGTTGTTTTGTTTAGGGTCTTAGTGATGTTTGTTGGTCAGAAGACAATCGGTTTTTGTGTACTGCTTCTGATGATAAAACACTGAAAATCTGGGATTTCACATCGGTGGATTTTTGTTTGTTTCTTAATTCATAATTTGCGTATTTTTTTACAAGTGCTGGCTTTGTAGGGAAAATGCCTTAAGACCCTCAAAGGGCACACTAATTACGTGTTTTGCTGCAATTTCAATCCTCAGTCAAACTTGATCGCCTCCGGATCTGTAAGTTTTTCATGTTGTACTTGTGTTTTTGTGCGGGTTATTCTCGTCGTTTGCAGTTCGATAGGTCACAATTGCTATTCTGAAGATGATGCCGCATTCACAGAATGTACGGATTCTTAGCAAATTTCGTAAATTAGGTGACTTCAGCGCACTAAAAATCAGGTGTTGCTACGCTTTGGAAGCTAGTCAGGCGAGATGGTTTCACTGGCTGATGATATGAGAAAAACTTGCACCCTCACAACAAAATAATGGCCACCATCATCATCTGTCAGGGAAAACAAGGTCGATTTATACTACGATCCCCCACGCTTTGGATGGGAAGGCATATTAAATTTAGTTGTGTACCTAGTCCTATTATTAATAATACTGAAAAGTGAAATTGACTGTGATTCTATTCAACTAGTAAAACACCAAACCGGAATACACGGTACTAGAATAATGGTTACTTCTTCCTGGTGCATAAAGTGTTAGAGACTATTTGACATGGCGTGTTGACATTGTTTAAGAAGTCTGTTTTGAACTCAGCAGATGCCGGGTTTGATTCCGCTCAAAGGCAGTCTTTTTCGTATTCACGAAATCCCTTGAGCAAGGAACCCACTTACTTCAGATAGAGATTACTCAGACGGTAGAACATCGAACTCCGAGTCGATAGGTCCCAAGTTCAAACGCCGGTTTATGTCACTCACCCTCTTTCCTTCCGAGGTTGATAAATGAGTACCTCTCTGAGGAAAGGAAACAAGTGAC